AATGTTCCTCTTCAGTATTGTAATATCTGAATTCAAATTGCATAGAAAGTTGTTCAACATAATTTTGTCTTAATTTTACTATCAATTTAAAGGAAATAATAAGATTTTGATCCTTCCAGGAGCTGAGGCTGGCTAGTTGGATGATGTTTTCACAACCTTTTGGAAGGGTAAAGTACTTACTGCTGCTAGTGATACTGATGACGATGGTCACACTCAGTGGCATAAGCCCTTCAGTAGTGTTTAACATGAGCTAAAATTCAGCAATCCCTATAGCAAATGGTAATGTGTCATTGATTATAAAATTTGTAGTATTCTTGTATCTTCCTTTATATGTCAGTCTTGTCAAGAGTTGAAATAGCCTGTTTAGCACTGCAGGAATTTCAATTTTTGCTTCCAACATTCATCATACCATATGCAGTGTATATTGGAGAGACATTGATCAGAAACACTTTCCTCTGACAGACAAATGACATTTTATAAGGAGAATTTCACTTTGGCTTTTGAAGAGCCTCTGAGATCAGTTATGATTTTCAGAGAAACCTCTCCAGGGAAGAACTGTAAATAAAATCTGGAACAGTATGGTCTCCTTATACTCTTGTTTGTTTGTTTTTTATAACCAGTAAAAGCTGTAGTGGTTTTGATGTCCTAGACAAATCAGCAAACCACCTGAGAATTTTCTTTGTTTTCCAGACTTATTTTATAGGATAGACCTAATATACCACTGCAGGTTAATACAGTTTAGAAGTTATTCTCACGGCAATAATATACTTTTATCTCCTTTACCATCCTCATATACTTACTGAAATTATCAGTAATGGCGATTCTACTGGAGAAAGGAATCTGTATGTTCCATAGCTGGGATATATTATTTTCTTGGGTGATCACTCAAAAATGAGTTTTCCAAAAGACCCTAACGTTTAATAAGTTTAATACCACACAAGCAGGGATGTGATGTTTAATGATTTGATTTTTTTTTTTTTTCCTTTTTATAAGCACTGGCATTTAGTAGCACTTAGAAAACAAAGAGCGCGCTACTGGTCCGGAGTGAGGGCATCAAGTCAGCGTTACAGAACTGTTTGACAGTTAGGGTAGTCCCAAACTAATGAAAACACTTAAATCCAGTGAATACTTAAGTTCGATAGATTTTTTAATGCTTTGTTAAATGGATTTATGTGATAATTAACATTTATTTAATTAACACTGTTCCAGAAAGGAATGAAAAACTTCCTATGAGTGCAGGCAGCGTAAGCAAATATTGAGATGTATTTGGAAGCAGTCAAAGTGTCTGAAGCTGCTATGCATGTTTTTCTACTATTCATTAGATTTCCATAGTGGGAGAGCATAGCAGGAGTCTGGATTAGTGTTGTTACTGTTAAACTGAAAATTGTCTGAAAAATGAGGTGCAAACATTACCTGGTTTCAATACTGTTTCTATTAATTTTGGGTTTTTTTTGTCCTAATGAACCAAGTATGGTTTCTTCTACCATCGTACTCCAAAAAGAGAGTGAGAAAGGAATTAAAATATTGTTATATCATGCTGACTTAGAAAGAAAATTACAAAATTATTTGAAGAATTATTCACATATGCATTATTGAAGTTTAGCTAGTAACAAAGGCAAAGGACAGAGCAGACAGACCCAGATACCTTTCTGGAAGGATCGGTATGCCCCATTATCTAAGAAAAGTTGTTCACAGGTTTGAATGCTTTCACAGTACTGGTCAGTACTGAATGGTATTGATTCAATAAATATTTCTAGGTATAACATATACCTTACTGAAGTTGAATATTAACCTGTCGTGTTAAACTAAACTGGTTGATAATTTTAGGTATCATAAAGAATAAATATAAGAGGCTTGATATTATCCAGATGAAAGACATATCTCCTTTGAGTACTGCAGTACCAAGAATTGGTTGAAGACTCTAGAGGAGAACTAAGATAGCAACTTTTTAATAGAGGCATTGGCCTTTTCTTTCATTTCAGGAGCTGCTGAGAAAAGTTCCAAACATGGTGCAGAAGATAAAACACAGAATATTATTGGTGCTATGAAGGAAAGAATGAAGATTAGAGAGAAAAATAGACCGGAAGTGTTTGAAGTGATCCAGGAAATGTTTAATATTTCCAAAGAAGATTTTGTACAATATACAAAAGCAGCAAAACAAAGTGTTTTGGATGGAACATCCAAATGGTCAGCAAAAATAACCATCACAGGTAAATTTTCTTCTGAACTGTTTGCTCTAAGAGCTCGCTCTTTCCTATTCCCCTGGAAATAAGATATATTATAATTAGAGCTGGAACTGTGCATTCAATTGCATACTTGGTGCATCTATAATTGGTTAAATTTATAGCATGCTAACTGGAATAGTTTTAAGTTACAGCTGTTGGCAAAACTACTTTATATTCTGCTGCTTTTGGAAAGAAGATAAGTAGATGGTTTTGTTGTGTCTCCTCTACCTCCCAGCAGTATCTCCTGTGCTGAACTTTTTTGCTACCAACTGCAAGAGTTAAAGTTCACGATTGTGTTTATGGATTTTTAATGACTGTAATGCTAAGAGCACTGAAGCTTGCAATTCCAGGCCTCATTGGTTGGAAACTCATCAGCCGTTCTTGTTGCTTGACTAAGAGTGTGTTTCAGGGAAACCTGCACACCAGAACAGACTCAGGATTGCTTCCAACTGCATTAGCCTGGTTGCTCATAAAGATTTCCAGGTCCTCTGACTTTGACGTTTCATTTTTTGAGTTAAAACCTCAGTACACAAAATCTAAATAAAAGCTCAGCTGACTACACAGGTCAGCCTGACTTTATGTGATAGTTGATTCGGGACAAATAGAGAATAAACAAAAAGACAAAAGAATTGAAAGGCAGTGCTGTCAAACATTAAAGGACTCTGGTTAGATTTCACATCTAAATTAGACTCAATTTCATTTTAATGTCATGAAAAATAATAAGCCCTCTTCTGTAATTAAAAGTAAATAAAATATTTTCTTTTTCACCAAGATTTGCATTATTCCTGTTATGGGGGATAAGGAGATAAACTTTAGGAACTATTTTTAGCTTTTACTAGTCAGTTTTGATAAAAATTAGTAAAACAAAAGCTATATTTTTAAAATAAACAATAGTGTATACTTCAGTAACACACGTTTTTCTCACTGCTTAACAACAACCTGCATAAAATAAATGTTTAAGTCAGTTCTTGGTGCCTAATGTTTTACACCTGTGAATATGGTAATTTTCCTGAAGTATTTTACAAGATATTTTGCATATATCCTCTGTAAGGTCAAACACATGCACGCTGATAAAAAATTACAGGAGTGCCCTTTACTACTCTTGTCTTTATGAAACAAGTGACTAGGATACCCTGAGCAGATAGATGGCATTATTTCAGCAAGTTTCTCAGTAAACGTGCAAATGTTTTCAGACTCCATATCTGCTGGGTAAACATTGCTTCACCAGTGTTGATGCAAAACTCACTTATATTGCTGAATGGCTTGGTTCTTCTCTTTTAGAAGTAAAACTCATACTGACCCGAGCTCTGCAGAATCGTGACCTAAGAAATGAATCATAGAAAATTTAGGAAGTGATGTTGGAAGGGATTTCTGCAGTATATTCAAACCTTCTGCTAAAAGCAGGGCTAACTTCAAAGTTAGATTAGCTTGCTCAGGGCTTTGTCAAGACTGGATTTGAAACCCTCCAAGGACAGAGATTCCGCATTCTCTCTGGGACACCTGTCCTGCTTACTGGACAAGCTGTTTCAGTTATTAACCACTCACATTGTAAAACTGTTTCCTTGTATCCAGCTGGGATTTCTGTTGCTGCAGCTTGCAGCTGTTGCATCTTAGTATTTCGCTGTGCGCCTTTGAGAAGAGTTTGGCTTTGTAGAATGATAAAATAGTCTGTGCAGGAAGAGATCTTTAAAGGTCACTTAGTCCAACCCATCTGCAATGAGCAGGGACATCCTCAATTAGATGGGCTCATCCAGGAGCTCATCTTCTCTTTGGCATGCTCTTTAGGTAGTTGGGGACTGCAGCTCGATCTTCTCTTAGCCTTCCTCTTCTCCAAGATAAGCAAACGCAACACCCTTAGCCCCTTCCCATATGTCATGCACCCCAATCCTCTAACCAAATTGGCAATCAGTTTGTCAGTCTCTTTTACTGGAGACCTTCAAAGTCCAGAAACAATATTTTTTTCTGCATGTGATTTTGCTGCCAAAAACAATGTCACCTACAAAAACTCTAATCTGTATACTTAAAAAAATTGGAAATGGAATTTTATACCTTGTTTAAAAATCTTCCAAATGAGGACTTCCAGTGGGTTTTAAACCCATTTGTTAAAAATATGAAAATGCAACACTTTCCAATTAGTTTGCAAGAACAACAGGTTGCCATCAAGCAAGAGAGAAATTTACCAGCTGAATTTCAACAAAAATCTTTGGGTATTTGGTGGATGGGGTTGAAAAATGACTGTAGGGATTTAGTAAGTGCAGCCAATGATGCACTACTTCTATTTGGATATATGTATCTTTGTGAGGTATCTTTTTCAGCTATGGTAGTCATTAAAACAGTACAAAAATAAGCCAAACTTTGACATAGATCTTCAAATAATTGTACCACAAAGTGTTAAAACAATATTTAAAAAAAAAAATTAAGCACTTTTTTCTGTTGTGAAAGCAAAAAGGGGTTTTGTGACATTGAGAAAATTTTATAAAATACTTTTAAAATATTGATTTTTTTCATCTTTATATTATCTTTTTTTTTATTTTCTGATTTCGTGTATGTTTTATAATGTACATGATGTATTAGTACAGTGGTACATGTATATAATTTGTAAAGAAAACAATGTATTTGGATTGCATGCTCAAAAAATTTTACTATAGTACTTTTAGATTTCATGGCAATTTTTTTTATATATATGGGGAAAAGGTCATTGAGAGATGGAATTGCCGTTTCCAGTCCTGACATGTAAAGCTGGTGTTCAGGAGGGAACGGAGAAAAGCATTTGTCAAGTGGACCATGAGTTAATTACTCTGTGAGAGTTGGAAGCTGTGTTGTTAGCTAGACGTGGTTCTGTAGTCCAAACTAAAGCTCAGTCACATTTGGGGCAGTATGTAAAACTGTACATGGAGCTGAAGAGTAGCAGATATGTGCCAGAAGAATCTAGGGAAAATCTGAAATCATGAGTCAGATGGATTAATAAAAAGGGAGGCTGTTCTGAAGGTTGTGCATGAAACATAAGAATAGTTGTTGAATTTGGGGACTGTGGTCAAGCACTGGGGACGTTGAGAGGTATGTCAGGGAAAATATTTAATTCATATTCTTACTTTTAGTTCTACCTCCAAAGGATACTCAAGGCTGCCTTGTATTCAGGCCATTTAACAATTCTGGAAAACGTTTTCTAAGATGGCACTTAATTCTCCTGCATGAATAGGAGAGGCATACTTCCTTGCCTTCTAAGAATTTCCCTTTGGATCTACAGTGAATGGGGATGACAAAATATGCTCTAGTTCATTGCCAAGAGTTAGTCTTTTCAGGAATGAGATGTGTTTAAAAACAAAAAATAAAATAAAAAGTAACGGAAACTTACTTTTTTCACTGAAGACAGCAGATATCAGGAGATACGACTTAACCCACACCAGGAGATTATCTGCTGAGTAAGAAGGTGCCATTTTTATGTAATCTTTTTTTCTGAGTAGACTGAGGGAGCTTCATTATCCGAAATGATTGACATTAGAGAATGTTAACTAAGCATTACCACTGAAATGGTTTAAATAAGATGTGCAAAATAATAAAACCAAGCTCTGCTGATGCCAGGAGCCATGGCAAGTGTTTTAGCTGCAGCTCTCTAGGTTTGGCTGCTATTTAACAATTCTGCTTTCTTCTGAGCCTTCCAGTTTTATGGATTATGATGGAAAATCAAATTGTATGTGTTTATATTTGCCACAAAATGCATATACATTAACTATACACCCACATTAACTGTCAGAAAGGCTGACAAATACATAAACAGTTAATGATAATTGATCTCAACTGTCACCCTGTCTGTGACAGAATAGAAAATATTCTGCACATCCTCATGGTTTGTCTCTCACATGAGGAAAACAAAGGACAAAATCATAACCATGCCTCTCATGTTTAGTTTCGTAATGCACAGTGCAGATTTTTGAAAATTGGAGGGTTTATTTTGGAAATTTTAGTTTGCATCGTTGGAGAAATTGTGGAGAAATTGTGTACACACCCTTGTAAAAAGTCCCTCTCCAGCTTTCCTGTAGGCCCCCTTATAGCAGCTGTCCAGTACCTAAAGGGGGCCTACAGGAAAGCCGGAGAGGGACTTTTTACAAGGGCGTGTAGTGATAGGACAAGGGGCAATGGATTTAAACTGAAAGAGGGGAGATTTAGGTTAGATATAAAAAAGAAATTTTTCACACTGAGAGTGGTGAGGCAGTGGAACAGGTTGCCCAGAGAAGTTGTGGCTGCCCCATCCCTGGAAGTGTTCAAGGCCAGATTGGATGAGGCTTTGGGCAACCTGGTGTAGTGGAGGGTTTCCCTGCCCATGGCAGGGGGGTTGGAACTAGATGATCTTTAAAGTCCCTTCCAACCCTACCCATTCTATGATTCTATGAAATATTTACTTATTCATTTATTGGAGGGGGGCAGAGCATTGAAATGTTAGGGAATTAGACTCAAGCCAAGTTATACGACAACATTGTATTACTCTATTTATTAATCTATTAAACCATATTCGTAAATTTTACATAGTCCAGAAGGGTACTTAGACAAGCATTGTCTATCCCTGCAGTAACAGATGCTGGGAAAATCAATCCAGAAAGCTTTATTTCGGGATCCCTCAGTTTGAGGGCTTAGTTTCCTGTTGTTGTTTTCACCATCTCAAATTTATTTCTTGGCAATGAAGGCTATGAGGTCTAAAGCACATCTCTCTCCTTTGTTGCAGTTCTTTGTGCTCAGGGCTTACAGGCTAAGGACAAAACTGGCTCAAGTGACCCATATGTTACTGTGCAAGTTGGCAAAACCAAGCGGAGAACAAAGACTATTTTTGGAAACTTGAATCCAGTATGGGATGAAAAATTCTATTTGTAAGTATAGAAGATACTTGCTTGCTTTTTTAATTTACATTCAGGTAATATAATGCTACCAAGCGGAATAATTACTTAATCTGAAGATACTTGTTGTCTATACTATGCATATTCATAGCATTGCTAAATTAGCAAGTGCTGAGTGGAGAGAGCATAGAAGTTGGTGGTTGTCGCGGACCGCTGGTATCTCGTCTTCGTGAATCA